CTGCGCCCCGGGCCCCGCGGTCAGCATTCTGGTCTGAGCCAATAGTACCGTACTGGCCCCTGCGCCTCCGAGAAAACACCCCTAATGCGGGCCACGCCCCCCTCGAAAGGTTCTTCTTGGTGTCGCCCTCCGGGTATTCCCGTCAGGTGTCGCGACCTCCCGAGGCCAAAGCACCGCCAAGGCCACGCCCTCTTCGGGTAACTCGGGACTTGGCCCCTCCCCTTTCCAGACTCCCCAGGTTCGGTCTCAGTTCTGAGTCAGGCTCAGAGTACGAAGCCCCGCCCCCGCCCGAGCGCGGCAGGTTCGGACGTTCGGGAGTCCTCGGCTCAGCCGAACCCGCAGCCCCGCCCCCTCCCGAATAGAAGGGGTTCGGCGTTTGGGCGTCCTCGGCTCCCGTCAGTCCCACTGCTTGAGGCCCCGCCCCCTCAGGCCGCCAGCGCTCCCCCAGCTGGGGCGTTCCCGCCCCACGGTCGAGCCCCAGAGACGGAGTCCCGGTCCCTTGAGCACCCGCCGTCCGTTCTCCGCTCAGGCGGGCTCACCCCACTCGTGAGCGCTCCCTTCAGAATGTTGCACCGTCCTCTGATAACAACCAGCTAGTCACCTCGTAAACACCAACTCGCAGTCCCGGCGGAGCCACCCCCTACGTTGCGCGCCACGCGCTGCTTCCTCCACACCCCGCACCCCATGCTGACCCCCTGCGTCGATTTCGTCACGCCGCCACCTCAGCGGAGCGGGAAGTCTGGGATCTGCCCCGCAGAGCCGTAGCCCCGCCTTCGCCCTAAAGTGGAACCCCACCTTGGGCCCGCCCCTCGAAGCGCACCTCCCTCCGACGATTTGGATCCTTGGCTTGGAAACTGGAGGCTTGCTATTGTGGCCCCGCCCCTTGGCCCCGCCGTGCCCCGCCCCCTTGGGGGTGCTCTTGAGCCCCGCCTCTTACGTGTCGCCTAAGCCCGTGGCTCCGCCTCCTTCCTAAAGACGAAACTCCGCCTATCAGAAACCCGGGATCACTTGTACCCAACTACCTCAGAAGGGTACCAACGTTGTGGCCCCACCCACATCCGGCCGATGCTCTTGGCCTTGCCTACATCCGAATAGAGACGCTCCGTCCTCGACTACCTCCGAAGAGAACCGAAGCTTATGGGCCCGCCTCCAAACCTTCTCGCGACTCTGCCCGAAGGAACCTGAAGCGGAGGCCCCGCCCCATTCTGAACTCTGCGCTCTAGGCCCCGCCTCCGCCCCAGGTCCAGTCGCGTCCCTCAGAGCGCGAAGCTTCTGGCCCCTCCCCTCCCCGAGCCGGAGCCCCGCCCCTTTGCGTGCTCGCGGCTGGGTGATCCGGTGTCCGAGTCCAGCCGCGGGCTCGTACTCGCTGCTCCCGGACCCGGCTCCTTTCCCGCCCAGCCCGGAGCCTGCCGAGGGCTGCGCACCCGGCTCCGAACTGCGCAGCCCGGCCGGCCCCTAAAAGACGCGGGGGCGTGCTGGGCGGGGTAGGCGTGGCTGGACTCGCGGTGGCCCGCGGGCCGG